TTTTGTAATTGCGGTCCCATTGTTCACTTGAGTCGCATTGTTGTGCTCCCAACAGCATCAAGAGTGGGCTAGAAAGAGACGGCGCTATAAGAGTGACAAAGAGAGAGAGAGAGAGAGTGAAAAGAGAGACGGATTGAGGGACGGCAACAAATTATGCAAATCCCCTTTTGAATGGCTTATCCTTCATGAATTTATATCGAATCGTAAACCCAATGACGACGCGGCTTTAAGGCATGGAAGGCCGCCGCCTCCTTCGGCCATTGGAACAATAAAAGCTCATTTGTTGCTATTATCATTTCACTAACAAATAACAAATCATCGAGCCAAACGTTTGTCGTCTCGTCCCTTGCTGCCTGCCACCTCCTGGTGGCAAAGTGGCAGCCAAAAACGTGTTCACCTCAGCAACGGGTGGCACTGGCACCCCTGATGCTGCACAAACTGCTGCCAATAAATTCTGTTAATAAACCAAAAGTTGTTAATTTAAATGATTTATATCTGAAGGAGGATATCCAACCCTCACCCTCACACACAGACGCGGAGGAGGGGATCCCTGGTTCCCTGGATCCGGTAGCCAGGGCAATGCGCTTGTTATTGCTGAGCCTCAAAAATTTACGTAATTTGGCAAAACCTTTTGCCTGGGACTTGAGTTCCGAGCCTGATATTCCTGCCGTTTGTTTGCTTAGAGCTGCTGCCAGCCCCCTACAAGTCTCTACCGCTCCGTGCGTGGTGGGGCAATAGGTCAAAGTCGATGTGGCAGTGGTGTAGGAGGTGGCGGGGGCGGGGGCGGAGGCGGTGGAGAAGGAGAAGGAGGTTTGGTTGGTGGGCTTGTCCGTTGCCGTCAGCTTAAACCAATTTACGTTGCCGATGTCTTTATTGGAGGGTCCGTGCGTCGTGGGGCCGTTAGGCCGTGGGCCGTTTGCCCCAGTGCCAAGCGCCGTGTGTCATGAATTATGGCGCCCACCAAAAGCGGCACAACTGTGCGTATGCGTAATTTGGCAAAACGAACTGGACAAGCCCACCGTCGTGCACGCCCCCCCATGAGGCCTTGTCTATGGGCGGCATCCTTCCGTTTCATTATACATTATACATAGATAGACATATAAACGAATCAAGCTGCTTTAGATGAGCCCTACACTGAAATGAAATAGCGCTAATGTTTTGATTCTAGCTATAGGATGGATAAATGGATGAGAATTTGAAACATAAAATATTTTCAAGGCATATAAGTAGATATTTTAAACCATCTTCTCCAAGAAACCTCTTAGGATAAGAAATTAATCTATCCGCTTTTCAATTCCTAAACTGCCCCAACCGCCTTTTCTTCAGTGTAATCATCCTTATAAAGATTTATCTATATATTTGCCTTATTGTTTGCTATAGAAATTATTTCATTTGTTTGTGTTTATTACAATCAAATCTCATTCAATGCCAGTGCCTGTGTCTGTGTCTGTGCACGTTTCAAGGAGAAATCGTTCATTTTCCACAGCGTTTACTTTTAATGGTTCGGTTCGTCGAATGTTTTTGCGGGGGATTTTCCACATCTTAACTCTGGCCGAGACCTACAAATATTTGATGCGCCAGAGCGTCAGTTGTTTCGGGTTTTATTGATTGGCGGCGGCGTGCCTGGGTTTATGGGTATATCCTCCCACCCAGCATCCAGCAGCAGAAGCTTTGAGCCTGCCATTCTGAGTGCTCTTGGTCTTGTTTTGGCTTGGCTTTCAAGCGTGAACGTTGCGCTACATTGAAAGGGATTTCTCGGCATTTAAATGGCTTTCCCTTTCGGCCCGGTAAGATGTAGGATGCTCTCTCCCTTCCCCTCCTCTCTCTTCTTCTCCCTCCCTCCATTGGATGCCTTCGACTATGAGCAACTAATTTCCTTAGGATGGGAATGGCAGGCAACCACAAATGGAGGAGCCTGAGAGGCATCCTGTTGCACATGCATTAACCATGGCATTCATAACATTATGCAAACTTATACAGGAACTACATACACATATATTCATGTACATATACATATATACACCTTTAGAATACACCAAGAGATCCCATCAGCTCTTCCGGTTTGTCCCGTTGATGTTCACATTGTTTATGCTTTGGAATAAATGAATATAAAACATTTAGTTTACAGCTGCCATTTGACAAGCCAAGCACTAGCCTCAGTCGCCTCTTCCCCATGGGAGGTGGTTTTGCATTTTCTTTTAATAAAATACATGAATTATGCAGAATAGTTGATGCCAAAGATGTGGGGGACAGATAGAGATGAAGATGGCGACACTCCTGAGTTGATTTCTGAGCTTTCCTCTAAACCACTTGACATTGAAATGCCACTCAACCCGGCCACACAGCGGCAGCTCACGAGAGATAGACAGTTGGAAGATGGAAAAAGTTGGCCAAGTTCTTTGGCCTTCTATTTGTAAGTATGGGTGTACCTGTTTCATATGCAAACTCTCTCAAAAGATTTGCCAATGTCAGTGCTGCTGAATTTGCAATTCAGCTCGTAAATTTACTGATTTGTTTGCCACAAAAAGGTGGCGGCGGCGATGGCGGCGCCTCTTCTGATGAGTCATGGCACAAAGGTCAAGGCTAAGCCTCAACCGAAAAGGTAGAGGCTGTAAAGGGTTCTTCTTTTTGTGTGGGGGAGGGTGAGGCAGAAGGTTATAAATTTGCAATTGATAGCCCTGGACTGCCACGTAATCAGTTTAAAAGGACCGAATCTCAATTTGGCAATTGAGTTTCGTCTGTGGCTCTACGTTCACACCCATAATCCAATCGTTTGAAGCGCTTTTATGGATTCGACATGTCAAATCGCGTGCAAATTTGTTTGAATTTGTTTCGCTGTGGCTCCCATCCTGCTCGCTGTGAGTCCTCTCATGAGCCCATGCCTCATCCAACTCGCAGCAACACCACCACTACCATTCCGCAATCAAATACAAAACCCCATGGGGTGTGCAAAAGGTTTTTCCCGTGTCCATAAGAAATTTGTTTGTGTTCTTTTTGTTTAACACTAAAGTGGTAAAAATACACAGGAGAAAACAAGCAAAATAAAAGAGAGACACCAGCAGCAGAGGAAACAAAAAAAAACTTATTCAAGTCATGTAATTTGGTGGGGGGGAAACTTCCTTTGATATGGTACATTCCCTCATGTTTTGTATGCGTTCCGGTGCAAATTGGTTCTGTTTTTTTTTTTTTTTTCGTATTTTCATTTATTTACTCGCGGCGACATGTAGCCATCCATATTTATTGCATAATTTTCCACACAACTCCCACACAGAGAGGCGGCCCCAAAAGACACCCAACATTGATTGTGCAAATAAGGAAAATCAAATATTGCCCAGCACTTCAATTTCGTTTGGGATTTTTACTCCCAGGGGCAGGCAGCAGTTCGGGGGCCGACTGACAGTTTCTTTTGGGGTTCCCCCGATTCCCGCCAATTCGCTTTGTGCCCCTCGCCAACCCCTTAATTGGCAATTGAAGCGCTTTGATTAAATTAAAGGATATTCATTTAGTGTTTTTTTTTTTTTTGGGCTGTTCGGTTCAGCAGAACTCTTTTATTATATTTATGAATCAAAGTGGAAAGAATATACAATATTATCGTGTCGGTTCTTTAAATTCGGTTTGGCGCATTAAAAAAGCGGTATTTTTAAAATTTAATTTTAATATATATTTATTGCAGTTTGAACGATGCAATAACAAAACAACATAGATCTTCTGCCAACAAAAGAAAGAAATAAGAATCTCAAGGGTATTTTAATATTCGGTCTTACTGGGACCCCCAGCACTAAGAAAATAGTTTTATCCGATAGATGAATCAATTTCCTTTTTAAAGAATTATTTTCATTTGATTATTATATAAATGTCTTATCAAAAAAGATTACCGGCAAAAAGTTCACAAAGCCAAAAAAATATTTAAGAATGTACCAAATGTTGCGCAACACTTCGAGTGCTGCAAAGAATTTACCAAATGTTGCAAAGCGTATGTTGCCATAGGATTGCTACAAATTTGCTACATGGTTGCTACTACACATACATTTGCATGTAAAAATCATGTAAGAATGACATTCGGAGGCGAAAATCAATTTGTTTAAGCATTTTTTTAAATAATGTAAATTATGTACAAATGTTTCCAACTACAGTCCACCGCAGGCAAAAATTGATCAAAAGAAGCCGGACCAATACACAAACCGCCGCCCCGTTTGTCCCATGCTTTTCCTCTTCATACCATTTAAACAAGTGGAATTTAACGCCAACGATCTGAACAACACGATCCAGTACATAGAAGCTTTGTTTGTTTGAAAATGTACACAGGTTCTTTCTCCGGCCACAAATCGAATTTTTGTCTGAATTCCATCGTATATTTATTTTTTCAGATTTATAGAAGATTATTTTCCTTTGAAGTATATGTATATGTATTTTTGGTATATTGAGGGTGCAAATCGCTACTTATAATCGTAGGCCAGAGAAAGCATCATATTCATAGTCTGATAAGGGTAATTTCAATTGGTCCAAGGTAGATAGATAAGCACATATAGACTCTAAGAGTCTATCGTCATCCAAGAGAAACGAACACTGAACAGACATTCCTGTGTGGTGTGCTTTATAAACATTAGACAAATATCCTCATTCCTTTATAAACATCACCGTGTATTTCTATATTTACGAAAAGCTCTTTATGACTAAGGCCCATATTCATAAATACTTGGCCATCGACTTGCTTGACTCTCAAGCAAATAATACATGCCCTTCAAAGGAGCGTTTATATATGATTAATATAGACATCTATCTATGTATCTTATAACGCTAACAAACAGATTTGCAAAGCGGTTGCTATCCATAATCTACGAATATTAACTTTACGACTCGGTTGTTCGTGCTTGGTTAATACATCTATAATACAACACAAAAGGGCATACAGTTTTGTTTTCGCGAACAGATTTACATATATTGATGCTGCATTGACGGTTTGTTAGTCGCCATCGGCAGACATGACAATTCAATTGTTCTATTCAGCACAGATGAGAATGTTTCTACTACTATTGCAAGGAATTTGAAGCGCCTGTGAAAGTTCTCAGCCAGTCCAAAGGACCCGCGACTTGTTTGCTCGGCTTTTCATTTGCCTTGGAAGAATATAGTACATATATAAATTATATATTGCTAGAATTGCTGTAGTTCTAGTTGGGGTTTGCTATACATTAAATTGGATTTGTATTCAGGTGATACAGAGTAATATTTGTTTAAGTGTACGATACGATCTAGTAGGAGTAGTATCTATTTGTTCGTCATTGCGTCTGCATATCATTGACCTCGTGCATCATCTTGACTTCGTGCATCATCTTGACCTCGACGCCCATCATCTCCACGCGCGAGTTCTCTGCAATCATCACAGCATTCTGATGGCATTTTGTTTCCTCGTGCTGACGCATGTGGTGGAGCAGACGGAAATCCTTCTGGCAATAGTCGCAGCGATACAATTTGATGTCCGAATGGATGAGCTCGTGCTTGGTGAGAGAATGGGCATAGGCAAATGCTTTGTCGCATACTTTGCACACATATGGCTTGACGCCACGATGCACACTGTGAGGAGAAGGGAAGTGATCAGTTAGACAGGTGTTGTGATTGTGATGAATATGTTATCCACATACTTCTCGTGTGCCTTCAAGACGCTCTCATAGAAAAATTGACGGCTGCACCAGCTGCACTTGAAGGGCTTGCTACCGGTGTGAGAGTACATGTGTTTGCGCAGCTGTTCGCGCACATGGAACTCGGCGTCACACAATCTGTAAATGCACATGAAAGCAATCATTAACACCCTTACACGGGGCCGCAACACTTACTCGCACTGGTATTGACAGACAGTGTCATGACGGCGACGATGCTCCATCATACGTCCGCGCTTCTCGTAGTAGTTGCCACAGATATCGCAGATATATCCGCCCTTCATCACATTCGAAGCGCGAAGTCCCTCTACACGGCGGTTGCGTCCACGTTTGTTCTTGAGACTGGCATTGGCCGCCTCTGTGAGGACCAATTGCTGTGTTGACGTCTCCTCGAACGGTTTGCTCTCGAGAATAATTTCATTCTGTTCGGGATTCATTTCGATGGAATAATTATCCTCCAAATACTCAATATTATCTGGTATGAGCTCCTGCTCTTGGTCCTCCTGCTGCTCCTCTTCCTGCTCCTGATCCTGATCATGCTCCTGCTCTTGCAGCTCTTCGCCCTCTTCCAACACAAGGTAGTCCCCGCCTTCGGTTTTGTCGACACCCTCTTCCAGAATGTAAAGTGTCTCCTCACCCTGCATCTCACCTTGACTATCCTCCTCCTTGATGAACAGCTCATCCGTCTCATCAAACATGCCTATCTCCCGGCAATAGTCTTCAATGATCGCCTGCTTCAGCAAAGCCTTTTCGCGGAACTGAAAGGCCATATTGAGCTCCACCTTGCATGTCTTGCAGATGCCTTCTGGTATACTTTCCTTGTCATTCAGCTGAAATGAAACGCAATTAAACAATGCACTTTCAACACACAAATAACGTAAATAGGAAGTACGAGTTAATGTGAGGGTGGTGGCACGGGGCACGGCACCTACCTTGCTGTACGAGACTCCGAGCAACTGTATAAGCATTTCGTTAGGTGTCTCCTCGCCTTCCTCGCGTGTCTCGTCGAGGCGCTGCAGGCGTGGGCTCTCATCCAGGCACACCCGACAGGTTTTCGGGCCAAATTCAAGGGGCATTGTTGTGCCTTGGTGTTATTCGGCTTAATATTTAAAGAACCGCGTTATTAGCAGTACTTTCAGTGTTAAAATTTGTATATTACGGAAAGTGTTGTGTAAAGCGAGTGAAAAAATTCTCGGCCATTTTATTTCCACAGGGATGGACAGCCTCACTAGACTCGCTGGTTCCAGTTGGTGGTTCTCTAAACAAGATACATATGTACGTTTTTGTATGGTATTTTTACAGTAAAGGTGCATACAAAATTAGCTTCATCTAATATTTAACTAACGAATGCTTATCGCGTTACTAAATGGTGTATTTATGTCATTTTTAGTCATTTTGAAGACTTCTGTTTGAACTGGTTCACTGTTTGGCTGCCCTGGTAAGTAGCGATACCGATAATAGCGAGAACATCTAAATAAAATCAAAAACACACTGCACATGTATTAGCAGACAATTGTTTGTTAATAAACGCCGTTTTTATAAACATTCTAAGAGCTCAACACTTGCAATGTTTCAATTTATCTAAATGCAACACCGTGTTTACATCTAAAAATGTTGGTCAAAAATAGCACATTAGGTGCTCCGACCATCTGGCAACACTGTGTACAATTTCGAGACGCAGAACGCAAGAAATTTTCTTATCTCTAATCGAAAAAATGGATTATTCCATATTATTTAGTTATATTCTAATTAGAAAGTCGCATGTAGAGTGGCACTAGAATAGTCTAGACAGTTTTTACCTGACAACGTGTGCGTAGCAAGGCCCAGGGCTCGCACATCGCGCCCAATCGAATCACAGTCGATCGCGAAAAGCGAAAATGTAAATGCTTTATTATCTTGCAATCCGTATCTTCCGCCTGTGTCGTTCCGTCGTAGTCGTCACAGTCGCCGTCAAAATGTTCGTCGTGCCAGTTATCGACTCCGCAATCTTCATCTCCTAAAGCAGACCACTACACACGCGTCAGCTCGTCCGCCTAGTGCGTAACACACTCCACAAGAGGGAGATCCACACAATAAAATAACCAGAGCAACAGCAGAGCAGGCTAAACGAGTGCGGGGAATCGGAGGCGCCGCTAGCACCTAGCCAGCACCTATATCATGTCCGAGAAGCATGGCCAGCTGGGTGCGCAGTGGACGAAATCAGCGGCGGCGCCAACAGCATCAGTAGCAGCAGCAGCAGCTCTAGCCTCGGCTCCGTCTCCCATCCCGCTGCAGAAACTAACTGCAAATCCGAGTCCAAACTTTCCAGCCACCAGCCATCCGTATGGCAATTGCGGGATACCTGGACTCCCAGGCATACAGCCAGCGGACATACCATATACCTCGGGACGGTTTCAGGCCCCGTCCATCATCCATGCCAAGGCCTCGCCCCTGACCATCGTGCCAGTGGGAACAGTCCCTGGCCACCACTGTCCCCCCCAGAACTCGCCCACGAGCCACCACACAAATGTACCTGTATCCGTGACCGTACCCGCTCCCAGCGGTTTTGTGCCGCCGCCGTTTACAAATGCTGGCAGTGCCGCTACATCCGTGCTGCAACCAAATCCGTTTGCAACGGCCGCCGGGAATGCCTTTGCCAATGCCTTCAACTTCAATACGGCCCAACAGCTGATGCATGCCATGAGTGGCGGTGCATCGGGTGTGGGTGCAACAGGCGCGGCAGGAACCACACCGAACACAGCAACAGCGACGCCTGTCATAGCGGGCGTGGGTCCTCCACAGAGACATCCCGTCGAAGCAGTTCCCACGACCAGTGGCGTCATCAATTCCACCATTGCTGAAAATGTAATGAATGCGCTGTCCAACTCGAACGCTGCCTCTGAGGAGAAGATGCGACGCGTGCAGCAGGTGATTGAGGCCAGCATTGAGTGAGTAAATTTCCATTAACTGAAGGAGAGAGGTATTCATGGCATTCTCCTACCCCTCCCCAGTGACAATGCGAAGCTACAAATCTCGCAGATCCTCGAACGTGTGGCGGTCTTAAAGCCAATTGAGAAACTATTTCTCTATCTGCGTCTGCCTGGAGAGTGCGCGGACTCGGATCCATTGAGACAGCCACAGAATCCGCTGGGTACACGCTCTGAGATTAATCACACCATCAATTGGGTGCGCTCCCACTTGGAACACGATGCACAGGTCTCCATACCAAAGCAGGATGTATACAATGATTACATGTGAGTGCAAGAAACACATTTCCATTTGCATTGAAGGATTTGCTTATATTCCTCCACTTTTGCAGCGCCTATTGCGAACGCCTGAGCATAAAGCCCCTGTCCACCGCGGACTTTGGCAAAGTCATGAAGCAAGTTTTTCCGGGCGTGCGTCCACGTCGTTTGGGAACGCGTGGAAACTCGCGCTACTGCTATGCGGCCATGCGTAAGACCACAAAGCTAACGCCGCCGCAGCTGCCGGCGCTGTGCAAAAGCGAACAAATCACAGGAGAAGATGACACAGCGACTGCCGCTGCCATGCCCCAGATGAATCACTCGCCGAGTGTTGTGTTGCCTCCGATGGCGACTGGCGACAGCGATAACTGGGATGTGGTGCGCAGTTGGGCGGAGAAGCTGCTGAACACAAAACTGGACAGCATTGCAGAGCTAAGCACGCGGATCAAGAGCAACAATGCCACGGTTATGGGCGTAAATTTGGGCGCCAAGAAGTACACACCCCGGGAGCCCAAAGAGAAGCGTGTTTTGGCCGTAAGTTTGGGAAGATCAGGGAGGAACATCATAGAATGGTTTGGCTTATACTTTCTCCATTTTTGCAGGACATGGGACCACTGAAGAAGCGACGCAAAAAGAAACGCAAAGGCTCTACATCCTCAGAGTCGAGCTGCAATCAATTGGTGGCTGGGCAGCAGGATGCAGGCAGCAGTCAGGATGCCATCGATGAACTGAAAACGGAGCAGCTAGTAAAGATCAAGCAGGAGATTATAGACTCACCCGTACACCAGTCACAGCCCCAGTCCCAGCAGCAGCAGCAACAGCCCCCAATGAATTATCTGCATCAAATGATGCCCATGAACCTCGCCACAGATCAGCGAAGCAACAGTGCGGTACGCAATCTGACGCCCAAGATCATGGAGATGGGTGGTGTGGTGCCGCCAACGGTTGTGCTCACTCAGCAGCAGGATGAGCCATTGCCCACAACGATGGTGATCAAAGACGAGGTGGAGGACTACAATACATCCAATATATTCTGCAAAAAAGTGCTGAAGGCGCAGCAAACGAAAGGATTTTGGGCCAATTCCCCTAGCAGCGGCACAACTGGCGGCGGAGGAACCCTGCTAGTGCCGCCAGTGATCACAACGACAGCGGCAACACCACCGCCACCGGACATCTCGCCGGGTCCCATGTCCATGGGACCCCCAGCACAAATGATGATTTCCAGTTCTGTGAGCCCCTCCAGCAGCATGGACAGCCACAACACCACACCAAAAGTGGCCTCACGCAACATGATTCTGCTGCGTGCGAAACGTCTGCTGGCGGCGGAGAATGCCGCTGCGTTGACGGCCGCTACCGAGGACTCGGGACTGCCGGAGAATCTGGGTTTGCCCAGGGAGCGGGTGATTAGCATCTGTAATATGGATAAGCACGAGCTGGATGACTACTTCCTGCCCGTTGAGGATGAGGAGAACTCCGAGGAGCCCGACACCGAGCTGCTTCAATATTTTCAGATGGGAGACGCTGAGGAAAAACAACTGAATTCCTTAGATGCTGTAGAACAGAACAGAAATCCACAAGGAGCACCGACAACAACGTCGACGACGACAACGATACAGGCGGGAATGGCGCCAGCGATGCAACAGCAGGAACAGACCCAAACCCAGCAGCAACAGCAGCAGCCGCAGCCGAATCGTGGAGCCACAGCGACCATGCCCTCGCCACAGGGGGGATTGGTCGTCTCATCGACAATGTTGCCCGGTCAAGCTAATGTGGGTTCTGCCTCAGCGTCTCTGGCTTTAATGTCAAAGAAGCATCAACACCAACAAAACCAACAACAGCAGCAGCAGCAGCTGCCGCCACATAACCAGCAGCAGCAGCAACAACTGCAGCTGCGAACCAAACAGCTGCCAACGAATGGCAATCCTAACCAGAACAACAGACGAAAGATCAGCCTGAGCAATGCCTCCAGCAATGGCAGCAACAAGAACTGCATATTTCTGCCCATATCCCCCAACATCAACAATGGAGGAGCAGCAGCAGCAGGAACAGCGACTGTAACGCAAGTGTCTCAGAATCAGAATCCAACAAATTCCAATCAACAAAATTGTTTTGCCAGTCCTGGCGTCACGCGAATGCGGCAACGTTCCAGTTTGCTAACCAAACAGCAATCCTTGGACTGCGATGGCAATCGCGATCCCATGATTGGGGCAACGCGTAGAAAACGCTGCTACGTCTATAGCTATCCCACAAGCACCTCAGCCTCGGCGCCGCCAAGCCCCTCGCTGCTGCAGCAGTGCATGGTGGGAAATTGGCCATTTGGTGGAGCAAACTCCTTTCCAGAAACAAACAGTGCAGATCCCTTGATCAATCAGAACTCTATGGATCTGGAGACAAGCCTGGCCCTGACTGGTGGCGACGATCTGGATCTGACGGAGACGCAACGCTCGCAGTCGGTGCCGCTGTCACAGCTACAGAGGAGCTGCCATCCGTCGCCCAGCTTCAATCGGCAGGCCAGCTTTCAGGCTTCTAGCTATGCGAGCGACACCTTCTACTCGGAGAACAGCAACAGCCAGAATTCGGTGACTGTGGCACCCCTAAAGGATGTGGAAGCGGCTGCCGCGCTGCTCTATGACGTAGATGTGGGTGCCATGATATCGCCGAGTTTTAACAATAAGTTTGGGAACATTTCCCAGCAGACGGCCACCACATGCAGCTCCTCGGCTGGCTCCTCCTCGGGATATAGTAGCGGAGGTTCTGCGGGCATTGTCTCACGTTCTGTGCCCTCCACACCGCTGCCGCACCAGCAGCAGAACAACAACACTCTGGCGGCTCTTAATGGCAATGGAGTGGGCAATGGCGTAGGTGGAGGAGGCAACAACTTGAATGCCACAAATGGTTTCTTCAACATCTCGCCATCGTTCAACTGGGAAACATCGAGCAATGGCATTCAAGGGGGGCCCTACGTCTCGTACAGCGCACGCAATACGATGGATATATCCAAGTCGATGCCCACGACGCCCATAACGACGCCCAGCTTTCGCTACAGTCCCGTGGAGTTGCATCGGGATTTCCTGATCAATGGCTGCACCATAGACCTAGTGCCCACGTCTGCGTTTGTACCCGCGTGCAGCGATGAAAATCCCGCGCTGACCCTCAGCTCGGACTCGCTAATGGATGACAGTTCGCCCAGCAGTATACTGGATACCTTGTAGAATTTGCACGAAGAGAAGGCTCAGGAGGAGATTACAGAACCAAGGGAAGAAAAAGGAGAGGAGAAGGACGAAAAATCTGTTGCCCAAATGCCCGAAGATGCCACTGTGGTGGCCTATCTGCTGGAGCATGTGGATCAGTTGTAGATTGAAGCGTGCCTTCTCCGATCCGATCGTCCCGTTTAATTATATTGTTGTGTTCATTTTGTGTCTAGTAAATCCCGTGCCTCAACGTATCAATGTCTCTCCCACACTCCCACTGAATGAGCTTTCTCTTCGCCATAAGATCCCACACTTCCTGCTAAAACTAAACACTAAACCACAGCTTAGCTTCTAGCCTTTAATTGGTTTCAAAACTATCCTAAATTTCCATGTCCAAAAATAGAGAGAGAGAGTTTGAGCTTAAGCTCCTCCATCTATAGTCTCTATTATAACCCTCAGGCCCCACCCCATTGTTGTATATTGTTATTGTAATATTAACCTAATCCTTAAACCAATGATGATTGATTTCTGTATGTAAATGATAGTTTTTACTGTTGAACAAACCTTACAAAAACGAAACGAACTTAAAGTCTGAATGAAGGAAACGTGTGCAGAGGTTTTAAAAACGGAAAACAAATTTACAAACAATATGTAAAATGTAATTGTAAAACGAATGTACATCTTAGAGAACTAAACAACTATGAACACATAATCTCGGCCATCGTCGAGTATTCCTATGACCCCAGAAGATATATATAAATTTCTAAAGATGACCCCCTGAGGTCATATGGAACAAAGTTTTAGTTCAAAAAATTGTCAGAATTTAATTGTGTGTTTGTATGGTATTGTACGGTATTCAATTGTTCAGATATGGATATAGATATATGCATATGGATAGGCCCCTCCTTCGATTTTACTAACACTCCCCCTGAACGTTCTATTACTATACTTTCTATCTGTCTTTTTATCTTTAATGCTTTGATTCTTCTGCGATTAGTTATAAGTGTTTGTTTGTTATAAATGTTTTTTATATATTTTTTGTTTCGTTTCGGTTTACGTGTAGTTCTCTAGGTTTTTATCTTTACTATCTCCCAACCAATTTGGATTTTATGCGAGCTTTCTAGTGTCTGGAACTCTAGTTCTAATTTCGTTTCGTGTAGTCACAGATTTTTCTTCCAAATTTTAGCCTTAAAAATAAATATCTTTATTTCAGAATTTGTGTAACAAAGTAAAAGTCTATTACCGAATTCAATTCCGTTCTAAAAAAAAAAACAATTTTATGTGTGTGTAAAGTTTTTAAAAACATATTTTTAAACAAAAAAAAAATTGATCAATGTGCCTCAGGCTTTATTGTAAAACAATTCATGTGTAAAATGCATATACCACAGGAAAAACAAAAACCAATATACATACAAACATACAAAATGCATTAAAAAAAAGGCGAAAAAACACAATAAAAAATATACACATAAATAGTTTAATAGAATGTTATACGAGTACATACATTAAAAAAAATATACACTCATTTACACAAAACAAAAATAAAAGAAAAAACGCAAAACGCTAGGGGAAACAATTGAGTTTCAGCAGAGAATTTCTTATATGCATAGTCAGCAAACGTAATGTAATCATAAAGTCCTACAATAATCAGAAATCCAATCCAATAGACTAACATAAACACACTAAATCCAATATGTATTTAATGTCGTAAGTAAACGAAAGATAAACAAATGCACGCCCTAGGATCCTCCGCTTTCAGCAATAGCAAAAAAACAAATATACTATGCAAGTAGCAATAGCCGATAAGTATGGTATGTAAAATTAATGGAACATATTTGTCACCGGGAACACTTTATAGATATATAAAATTGATATGCAGTTATACAGAAACAATGCATTCAACTTAAAACGAACCAAAACTGTACTTTTTTATAAGATATTTGAATGACATAAAATACAGAACAAAAAAAAACCAGAAACGAGTTTGTAGATCTTTCTCTTTTTAATAACACTCGGGGATAAATCATTATCTTTTCAGTAACTATTTTTACAGCGCAGACAGTTCAGAGACTTTTCACTTCGCTCCTTCCAATTCCCACTAAAACTCACTGCATTGCATTTGTGTTAATTATATTTTAATATTTTTTATTAAACGTTTAAGTTTAAAATAATAATATGCAATAAATATTTGTTAAATATACATAATAATACTTTTTTAATGTTAATATGCATGTGTGTGTGCTTCTTTAATGTGCTTTCTTAACTTCCTCTCCTCTCACATTTTTCGCCGACATTTTTATATTCTTTTTATTGATTTATTTTATTGTTTAGTTTTTTATAAATTTTACATGTAAATTTAACTATTTTGTATTAATATTTTATATGCATTTTACATGACATTTTGTTTTAATAGCGCCAAAATAATATTCCATTTGCTACAACACTTTTGTATTTATTATATTTCGTTTCTCATTTCCGATTTCCCCGATTTTAGTTCGGGCTCTGTATATAATGGGGTATATTCCTATATAATATGTACATATATAATGTATGTACGTATAAAAGTCGTGTACTGCCCTTGCTGTATTTCCATTAGTTCCATAATATTGTTGTTTTTTAATCATTTTTTACACTACTCTAATAGCACATTTGAAATTCCCTTTATTTTCTATATATATATTTTTTAATTATATATCTTTTACGTATATATATATAATTTTTGTTTTAATATTATTAATTTATGCTTTCCTTTGTTTTTGTTAATTATTTATTGTTTGCTAATATATTTTGTTGGTGTTATGCTGTTTTTGTTGTTGTTAAATGCTTTTTGTAAATCATTTTTTTAATTATTGGTTTCCTGATATTTTTTGTTGAGTTTCTTCCCCGATTTCTATATATTAAATGTATAATATATGTATGTATATATGTTGTATATGCCTGCTATAATATATATATATATAAAATTGTTGTTATCTCGCTGAGGTGGAAAATTCATTAATTAATAAGGTTACTTGTTGTTCTGTTTGCTGCTGTTGCTGTTGCTGCTGCTGCGCTACTGCTGTTGCATGTTGCTTGTATACATTATCTAATTTCCTCTACGGTTCAGTTTTGTTTAGCTTTATTGTTTTTGTGATTAATCATCTGTTAAAGTACACATCATCTTTGTTGCTGCGGCTGTCTGTTTTCTTGAGCACTCCTATAGCATCCCATATTTTCCCATATTTCTATTTTCATATTTGCATTATTTAAAAAAAACTTTAGAAAATAAAAGAAGTATATGAAAAAAAGTACCAAAAGAATGTGAAATTGTCTTGTGCCATATATATTTATATATATATTATATATCGTTATAAAGTGCTGCTCAATTATTGAAATATTATTGCTGCCAAGTCTCTGAATGCAAAGAAAAAACTCTTTCTACTTTTTCTTTTATCTCTTTTTACTCTCTTAATATCATATTTCTCATATATATTCGTTTTCGATTCGGTTGGAAGCAACGTTAATTTTGGATAAAACGGGTTGGGGGTTTGGATTTTCTTTGGAGGGTTGGTCCCAATTTATCGTTCGTTAAAGAAAAGAAACCATAAGAAAAATAAGAAAAACAAAGTTCTTTAATTAGTTGACAATTTGTTTTATTTCAAAATTAATAATAAAGGCAAAAACTTTCAACTTAGGGACAAAAAACGTAATTAAACAATAAAAGAGACAAATAATTAAATACATAATAGTAATAATTGGTAATCGGTAATATAGAAAGTCAGTAACATTGTTCAATCAGCAAAGTGTGGGGGGTTCTCATTCTCGGGGGCTCATTATCATTATCATCCTCAAACTCGTTCTCTTATAAAACTAATACGAAAAAACGTGTCTAGCCTAATTTAAAATGTTTGCAATTTTCAAATAAAAACACACTAGTTTTAGTTGTAGTTATAGTAGTAGTAGTAGTAGTAGGGGGCTGGGCAGGACAATAACTATATATAAGAGAAGGGGCCGGGCAGGACAGAACTGAAAACAAATGTGAGGGAGGGTTGGGGGGCTATACAATAAGTTAACTATGCGGAAAAAACACAATTCATTTAGTTAAAATTATAAAAAACTCTTTTCATTTATTTTTTTAAATACATACAATATAATCCACCATATCGTGTGTGCACTGTGCACTTCCTCTCCATTCAAATATAAACTGGCTAAAAAGAGCATTAAGCATTGCATACTTTTGTGGCGCATGGGGGGTTTGGATTTTTCATGGGTTTTTGGATTTCATTTCCTTTTTCCATTCAGCAAATTGAACTAAATTAGTTTACTAAATTAATTACTCGTTGTGGTGGTGGTGTTATTATTATTATTGTTGTTCGCTCCATTCGGGGGGCATGTGGGTGGCAGCAACCCGTCGCCTGTCTGACTGCGGCTGTCCAGCGACCAGTCCCAGTCCTTGCCTTTCGGCCGGAACTTGGATGATTTGTGATGGTAGCCTGCATTATGGTTGGCACTGTGATGCGGCGATGATTTCTCTTTTGGGGATTTTCCCGATTTACCGCCCATCATGGTGGACACAACTGCTCCAACTCCGCTCGGCGTGTCCAGCAGTGCGGGCGGCCCATTGCCAGCTGCATCGGCTGCTGTGGGCGGCGCACTGGAATTGGAGTACGCCAACAGCTCGTCGCAGTCGTACTCCCAGTTCCGCTCGCAGAACTTCTTCTTGTAGTGCTTCTCCGAGCCGCTCTTCGACTTGCGCTGGTACTTCAGTGGTATACCCAACTCGTTGCCCAGCCCCAAGGGAGCAATTGCTAGCGGCGGCATGGCCACACTGGCGGCACTCGGACTCGGGGTCCGTGGCAGGCCCACATCCGACAGCGGCGGCGAGTCAATGGCACTGGGATCCACCGGGGAGACGGTTTTCAGGGAGCTACCAGCCGTGGACTTCATGCTGCTGTCGCTCAGATGATCCGTCAGATGATGATGCTGCTGCTGCTGTTGGTGCTGCTGTGACTGCAACTGTTGCAGCGGCTGCTGCTGTTGTTGCTGATGATGATGATGCGCCATGTTGTTGGCGCTGCTGTTGCTGCTGCCACTGCTGCTGCTGCCACTACCGCTGTTGTTGTGCTGCTGCAAATGGTTGCTCAGATTGTGCACCTGGCTGCTGCCGTACAAACTGTGGGTGCTGCTGCCGCTGCCACCACTACCAATCGGCAGCTCCAATTGCGAGGAGCTGGACGACGTAGACAGAAACGTGCGCACTGCATCCGAATTGCTGCTGCTGTGCGTGATACCCGAATCCGGCGATGTGTTGCAACTGATGGAAGCCGGCACTGTATCGCCATCAATGCTGCGTCGTGTCTTGTCCAATTCGGTGCTGGCAAAGGCCACCAATCGATCGAAACCAGAGCTCACGCGATGCTGCCAATGGGACTCATCATCAGCGGCAATGACATCATCTGTGGGATATGGAAAAATCAGTATTAGAAATTGGGTTTATTTTTTAATCTTAGCAGATCATTGAGATCTTAGTTTATGAGATAATTTTTTCGGATTCATTTTTTTTGTTTAGGATTCGTCGAGGTGTGTGTGGCCCTAAGCGTAGTGTTTTGCTGTGGTACAGTTGCGTTGCGTTTTGCGTGCAGCGGGGGAAATGTTTTTTTTTGTGTGTGAGTAGTTTGACATGGGGATTTCTGTGGCTTGTGTGTGTGTGTGTAAGTGGGTTAATGAATAAACGGAAAAGAGTGTTACGAAAAATGATAAATTGAGATAAATCAATAGAAAATTATAAGTAAAATAATAATCGTTAAAAAGGAAAACCAATTAGCGGCAACAGAACTTACCTCATGCTCGTTAAAATTTTCATAATAATTTGTTTTTATAAATTACGTATTTTTTGTTTTTCTGATTTGGTTTTTTGGCATATAAATTCTGTACTTTTCGTTTTTTTTTTTAGTAGGTAAATTATTAAACGCAAAAATTAAATATTTGTTTGTCTTTTTACTGTAGGTTTTTTTTCGAATTTTTCGTGTTATATGGGTTTTGTCTTTTCCAACAACAAACATGTTTTTTTTTTGGATTTGTTTTTTGTTTTGTTTTGGAAGCTGTTCGAATTTCGAAATTCAATCGATTCGATTCAATGGTTATTTGGGGGATATACTGTGGGAGCAACTACTACTACTATCGGCCAGGACATATCCATTCAAATTCTGATTGTAATTCTGATTACTACTCGTATATGATGCCGATAGTTTGGTTGCGCCCGACAGAGTCGTGCGAAGGCGACGTCTGGGATCGTAATTAGTTATAGTACGTTGCGTTGCCAAATCGTTAACTGTATGGAGTAGAGCATAATAGAATAGGGATCATAAGGAGGGCTGGATAAGATGGTTTAGGGTGGTTTGTTGTTCGTTATAACCAATTAACTTTGTATTTTTTGTTTTGTTCGTTTAGTATAATTGAAAATTAATTATGCATATTATTTGTAATAACATTCCAAAAGAGTTTGAGTTGGTTTTTTGTAGTTTTTTTGTGGTTAATTTTGAAATGTGTGATTGTTTTTTTTTGTTTTTACAAAAGAGGTTTGTGTTTAAGTGTGGTGTGTGGCGTGTATGGGGTGTGTATGTCTCTCGGATAAAATGTTATATATGCAAATATATAGATGACTGATTTGGCATGACGCTTAGGATAAAGAGGAAGGAGGCGTAGGTGGATTATACCATACTAAAGATTATAGAACACATGGAAGACGCATTGGAGTCAAAATTTATACGATTTTTGTTTCAAATGGCTCTATGTGTTCTTTAATCTTTTAATAGTACATTTTAGCATGTTCGAATGTTGTTGGATTTTGGTTATAATTGATTCCAGTTTGTTTTTTTTTTTATTTATATATGATACAAAAAATGCTTGGATATTGTTTGGATATTTTAATGTGTGTGAAAAAGTATGACAAACCCGTTTAATAATCGTATAATTTATTCAGTATAATTATTTTCTATTAACTAACAAGAAAAAAAGAGGAAAATTATAATTTTGGAATCATTCTTCTTTTTTAGTCTCTTTTAACTTGTACACATTTTCTGCTATCAGGCTCTGTTACAAAGCATTAAAAAATCAAAAATAGGATATGTATATAAAATAAAAATAATAATCAAAATAGCCACTCCAAAAATAAAAATCATAAAAAAAGCATTCAAAAATACAGTGTTCTACGAATAAATGAGGGTGGTGGGACAAAAACCAAGGTCTACAAAACAGTACACGCAACATTTAAAATGTTTTTTTTTTCATGTGATTTTTGCTGTTGTGTTTTTTCTTTGAATATTTACAATTAAAAAAAAGATTTGTATAATTTTAAGTGCACTAAAATGTGTGTGTGGGGTGTTTTTGAGTGTGTCTGGGTGGGTGTCTGTGTGGTGTCCAAAAATCAAGCTGAATCAGTTTTGGAGTCGGAACTGGAGGAGGAACTCGAAGAGCTCTCATCCGAGACCGACTCCTTTTCCGGTTCGACCTTCTTGATGGTTAAATCTTCTGCCTCCCGCTGAGCGGAGGAGAATCGTGTGGGATATTGGTGCTGATGGTAGAGGCGATTGTGTAATTTTTGTTGCGCTTTGTTATTGAATACTTGTGCAGGCGGTGGTCGTGGCTGATATTGATGTGCTTTTGGCCCTATCGTTTTGGATTGGCCCACATATAGCTTACCATCATCGGCGGCATTATTGTTGGCATTGGCATTGCGTTGCATTACCCCCAATGTGGGAGTGGTGCTCTGGCTGTGGCTGTGGCTGTGACTATGACTGTGGCTGTTGCTGTGGTGTTGGCTATGACTGTGGCCATGGGAATGTCCCAAATGTCCAGCGACTCTCAGCTGCTGCTGCTGGGATTGCTGCTGCTGATGGTGGTGTTGCTGCTGCTGCTGCTGGTGGTGGTGCTGCTGCATCAGATGATGTGGATTCGTGGACAGTTGCAACGGTCGCTCATCACCCATCAGGGAATTGATCTCCGGACTCATGAGCAGTGGTGGTTCAACCAGCATTTTCCCATTGTTATTATGGCTGCGTCTGCCACACGACGATGAAGAGGATGAAGGCGTTGGCGAGGGCGTCGTGGCATCATGTGCCGGTGGCGGTGGCAACACCTGTCCCCCATTGGCATACAAATGTGAATGGGCATGGACATGCGGCGGCTGCTCATAGTGTGGTATCTTTGAGGGTCGCGGCGGCTGTTGATGCGGCGCCAAAGGAGACGTTCGCTTGACCCCAACTAAAAGGAAGGCACAAAATAATCACAGATGAGTATCGAATTCTAGTGTAGATTGTGGCATAGATTCGACAGCTTACGCTCCACTTTGTGCGGTGTACTGCTGCTGTTGCTGCCATTCAAACTCGCTGCTCCAGGATGGATCGGATGATGTAGATAGCTATGGGCGGGTGGGGCCTGTCCATAATGCTGCTGCAAATCGACTGCTACTGCAGATGGTGTCGCTGTGGCGGAGGATGAGGCAGCTGCTGCTGCACGTCGTTGTCGCTCTTCTGTTTCCTCCTTATATTTCCTGGCACGCACATGATCCTGCAGCGAGGCAGCGAGACCTTAAAGAAGGAAAAGAAAGCAGAGTGAAAAGTGTTCGCTGTTAAGGATTCCCTGGAATACTTACCCTCCAGTGGAGGATTTGCGCCATTCAGACGGGGTCCTCTTAATGCTGCCGCTCCTCCTGCTGCTGCTGCTGCTCCTGCACCTCCCACACTCTTTGTCTTTTGCTCCTCATGGAAGTACGCCTCAATGCAGCCCTTCATCTCCGCTCGTGGCAGCGCCACTGTCTGATACGAATCCCTGCCAGAACGTGCGGGCGTAGGTGTTGCTGGCGTTGCCGTTCGACCGCCACTCTGTGGTGTGCTCTTCTGTACGTACGCTACATGGGCCAGGGTCGCCAGATTGCTGTTGTTGCTGCCCTGTCCAGCAGCCGCGGCTTGTGCTGCTGCTGCCCCACCACCTCCGCTGGCGACATAATTCGTGGGATGTGCCTCCTGGGATTCCTCCGACAGGGGTCTCACATGCACTCGCTCTGGTCGCTGGGCATTCAGATTGATGAGCAGCCGTTCATTGGACGCAGCCCGTTCATTGAAGCCTCTCTCCATGAACTGGGTCCCACTGGTGCTCATGTTGACAGCCGCATTGATGATCGTCTGATGGGAGATCTCCAGTGTGCGCTCAATCTCTCCATTCACCAGATCCCCAATGGTCTTGCCCGTGGGTGGCGGCTGTGGCAACGGTCCCTGCGGTGGCGGTGTGGGCTGTGGCGTCACATGCTGATTGAGCTTCTCCTGCGACAAATGGCGACGCAACGCCATCTTGGCGGGCGACACTTGCGTGTAGTCCGGCTGCGAGGAGTTCGAACTCGGGCGACTGGGCGGCCGTACGCGGTATGCACCGTAGTCCGAGTTGGCGGAACTTGCTCTTGGCAGCAGCTCCATGTGCTGCTGCTGCTGTGGCGGCTCTACCAATTGATCGCGACTGCTCGAACGTTGCAGCAAATTATCCGCAGGTGGGGCCTTGAACTCTTGCGGATGCGGATGCGAATGCGGATGCGGATGATGTGGATGATGATGATGATGGAGATGTTGCTGCTGCTGCTGCTGTTGGTGTTGCTGCTGCTGTTGCAATCGATGTTGTTGCTGCTGCTGCTGCTGATGATGCTCCTCGACTCGCTGTCGCTGTGCCACATGTGCTGCAGCAGCCATCATCAGTGCATGCTGCTGTTGCTGCTGCTGTTGTTGCACAATGAAATGCTCATAGCTGCTGGCACTCATCGAACTGCGACGACGCTGGTAGCCCAAATCCGCCGGCGTCGGAGGCGTAGGCTGTCCGGCCGCATACAGCGCTGCCATGTGGGAGGAGACCGGTACCTGAGGCGGTGGCGGCACTGAGGCGGCGCCCGAGGAGGGTGTGTGCTGCCTGGCCGGGGAGTACTTGTTGTGCTGCTCCTTTGATGCCTGATATTTGCCCGAAGGCGTGCTCTTGCCGCCATATGCGCCGTAGGGCAGATTTGCCGGCGGTGGTGGTGCCGTCGAGGCTGTGGCCCCCGCTCCGGGTCCCGGCAGTGGTGGTGTGATGGGGGAAATGGTTGTATTCGCATTCAGATGCATTAATCCCTGGGTGGACACCGTAATGATGTTGTGCAGATTCGAAGGCGGCAGCTGCTGCTGCTGTTGCTGTTGCTGGTGGTGCTGCTGCTGTTTGCTCCTCTTCGAGACGGGACTATGCAGTGGCGATGGAGATGGTTGTGCTGGCATTTCTGTTGGTATGGCCTTGCTCCTTTGCTCTTGATCCTCATTCAGCGCTGTCGTAATGATGCTCTTCAAACGGTCCTCAAAGTTTGCCACCTTCGGGGATTCCTGCTTGCGACACGCAGCAGAAATGGCAGCGGAGGAGAGTCCTCCCATACCCAAACCCAAACCCATTCCCATGCCCATGCCCATTCCAGGCAGCTCGCATTTGGGCAGCAGCGAAGGTGCCACCTGCAACTGTTGCACTTGCAACTGCTGTTGCTGCTGTTGTTGCTTTGGTGCTGGCATCAAAGTGCTATCCTTGTAATGATGTCCTCCCGCTGCTGCTGCTCCTGGTGCGGATTTAATGCTCACCGCAGCGGCACCAATGGGCATTTGCGTCATTTGTGGCTCCTTATTTTTGCCATTCAATTGATACGGCGGCACGCTAGTCTTTGCCTGGAAGGTGCCTGCCTCGATCTGCCGGCAAGTTTCCACAATTTTCAGAGCCAGCACTTCGGGATTTTCCTCCTGGATCTTCCCCACTTCGGGCACCTCGGGCCACTCCTGTGAGCGCACGCGATGTTCGCGACTGCGTCGGGAACCCTTCACGCTATTGGCTTTGGGTGGGGCAGGATTCAAGGATGAATTTGAGGCAGTTGAGGCCGCTAAAACAGCGGAACTGGCGCCGCTGCTGGTACTGCTGCTGCTGCTGGTGGCCAAACTAATGTTTGTGCCTTGGGCCAGCAGTGAGGCCGCTGTGCTCCTGTCCTCGGCGCTCTTTTGCAGCACTGTCGTCTCCTGTTCAATGGTGGACACTTGAGCGTACAGCTTCTTCCTTTGGCTTAGGGTATTTGCTATTTCCTTTAGGACCAACTCGTGGGCTGTCGTCTCCGAGAACTCTGACGGCAGTTCCAGCTTCACTTTGCCATTGATGGGACCATTGCCGCACAGTTTCTGATATTCCGGCAGGTTCTTCAGCTGCTTGCTGAGCAGCATCTTCTGTTCGCCCTCGTAGAAGGTTACCTCGTTACGCATTTTGCTCACCGTATGCTGCAGATCCTTGTGCCTGCCCACAATCTCCTTGGCTTGGGCAATCAGATCATTGGGCGAATTCACATTGATGCCCAGCTCATTCATTCGCACTTTGAGCAGCGCCACACTGTCGTCAATCAGGACTTTGATCTGCTTATCCAGCTGACTCGCACGGTTCTTCAGCCGCGACATGCGCTCCTGCTCCTGGGCAATGTTCTTTTGGATTTGCGGCAGATAGGCGCTCGATTTCATCACATCCATAAAGGACATGTACTGTGAACGCAGGCACTCGAGCAGGATCTGCAGGCCGTAGGGTGTGTCCTGTGGCGCTGCTGGTATGTCCAGCTCCCGATGGGACATTGTCTCCGTCAGCAGCGACGTCAACTGCTGATCGACGGTGCCCGGTGCCGCTGGCAGCTTCTTGGCCGCCGAATCCTGTGTGGTACTCAGAACCGTCTGCTTGTGCAGCGCATCCAATCCCACGATCTTCAGGGACTTTCTACCCCTGCCACCACCGACTCCCTTCTTCATGCGTCCCTTGCGCCCAGGCCCTGCGCTGGCGGCACGCGGTGCATCCTCCTTCGAGGACGACTCCTTGCTGGCCAAAGCCGCAGCGGCCGCTGCCTCCGCTTCCCTCTGGGCCGCCGCCGCAGACTTGCTGGCAATTGCCGCCTTTCGGGTGAGTTTTTTCCGCTTCTTCTGCGTGGCAGCACGCGCCTGCCGCAGACCCGTGACACTGGTGTTGGCCCCATTGCTGTTGCTGTTGTTGTTCTCCTCATCATCCGACTGCGAGCTCTTGCCTTTCGAGCTGGAAAAGTCATACCACAGGCGTCGGGTCATGGGTCCACTGCTGCCACCGCCGCCGCCGCCATTCGAGACGGATGTGGCGGTTGTGGCCGTGGTGGTGTTGCCACCATTGCCATTCGTTGCTTCGCCATCGCTCTCCGTGCTGCTCTCCATGTCGAGACTCCTCTGTTGTTGCTGCTGCTGCTGTTGCTGCTGCAACTGCTGGCGTGTCTTGGAGGCAGCTGCTGTGACACTTGCTCCTCCTCCTGCTGCTAGTCCGCCGCCGCTAACATTTGCTGGGGATTGCGATTGATGGCGCTGAGTGATGGTCGCTCCGGTCGGTCCGTTCGATTGCTCTCTTTCCCGCTGCTGATGGTTGCTGTTGTTGTTGTTGTTGTTGTTGTGGTTGTTGTTGTGATTGTTATGATGATTATGATGATTATTTTGCTGCTGTCCAATATTTGCCTCACGCTTGGCTCGATCACGTGTGGTGCGAACGGTACCTGAAGATAGAAATAGAGAGGAAGAGGTTAGTACATCATGATTGAACGGTAAAAGTTAGCTTCCATCAAAAGTAAAGTCAAAAAACGGCAGCGAAATGTATGAATTTTGATTGAAGAAAACTATATTAGACACATATCCATGATTGATCTTGATAAATATCCAAAATTTAGTCGATTTTCATGATTGATTATGATTGAAAGGACTTTTGTCATTGTTTGAGTTCCGCATTGAATGATTTAATTGATTTCGTGATTGATCCAACAACAGATTTTTACAATATCCATGATTGATCTTAAACAGAAACGGAATTTAAACGTTTTTTGTGATTGACTTGTGATTGAAGCCCCAAGTGAAACGTTTAACGTGATTGTGTTCGTGATTGATAAATTGATACGATTTTGACTGTGATTGATTGATTGATAACCAAATTTATGCGATATTCATGATTGACATTGAATAACTGGAAATATTGAACGATTGCCGTGATCAAAATGATAGATTGATACGATTTTGATTGTGATTGATTGATTGAACCAAAAAAAATAAAAAAATTAAAGATAAACTCAAAATACTGTGATTATGATTGTTTTGGTGATTTATCGATTCTGATTGTGATTGATCGTGTTTTCCGCAATCCTTTGTTAATCCGTCTGTCAGCCTTTGCTGTCAATCCACTTACCAACATGCTCGTGATGATCGTTGCCACCTTTGGTTTTCAGCCGCTGAAAGTATCGCTCCAATATGGTGCGATCAATCACATGCAAATAGTACGAAACGGGCTTGCAGGTCCACGAAACAGAACCCTTCAGTGGCGGTATTTCGCTCACATGCATTATGGTGCCAATATCCGAAAGGTTTCTACAAACAGAAAAAACAGATACAAATTAGCATAAAGATACATTAAACACACATGAATCACTCACCTATCGGTGATCCGAAAATTCAAAGGACAAAACGATTTGGAGGATACAACCCTGGCACCATCGCGTAGATCCGCAAAGCGCTCCTTCAGCTGATGATCGACCGTCGGGCCAAAGGCAAAATTATTCACAAAAACCAGCGTCGAAGAGGTGATCTTCTCGCGATGTTCATCCACAAGGAAATCGCCCTTGATCAGTTTGTACTCGCAGTAGCGTTTGCCAAACCAGCTCATATGCTGGCGAAAGAACAAATCCATTCGTTCGGCATAGCGTGCGGGTGTATCGGCTTTCTCGATGCCAATGCATGTCTTCAGTGGGAAGGATCCGGCCATTTGGAGTACCACTTGTCCCACACCGGAACCGAGATCAATAAACGTATCCTCCTTGCCGACGGTGACATGCTTGAGCATCTGTTGTACCAATTCGTACGATGTTTCGCCGTAGACCTCCGGTGAGAAGGGCTCGTATTGGTTGAGTTTATCCGGATCGAGAACGGCAGCATTGTAAACTAATTGCAAAATGTGTCTTAGAAGGCTAGGGTGAGCGAACTTATTCAATCGCTCGGCGGGCAGTGACGTTCCTTTTTCCTAATGAATACATGGAAGAGGGTAAACCATATAATAGGGTTCTTAGGCATAGATATATCCACAGGATACTTACCAATGCAACAATACTGTCGACGGCCTTGTTGAAGCGATCGACAAGATTTGTCATAGTCTTATAGCAGGCAGTGTCAATTTGATTGAGATTGATCTCCTCGAAGGCCGATTGTATCGATGGCAGATCATCGCAAACGAATTTAATGGTATCAATGATATCGATGCCATTATCATGCTTATCCTGTCCATGGCCAATCTGTAGGGGCCAGGCATAGGCAATCGTTTCCGGGGAGCCAGAGGGCGAACGCAACACCAAGTCCTTGACTTGCGGTGTTGCCATATTCTTCGTTTGCGTCGTCGCCTCCCTCGTTTGCCACAGCCGTCGTTTTGTGGCAAGGGAGGTTTAATGATCGCAGATGTGGTTGTGGTGGTGGTGGGTGGTAGTGTTGGTAAACACTAGTCAGTGTTGTATTATTGTTTGTTAATGGTTTTTGATGATGATCAAAAAAATTGGCATAGGATTTAGATAGGATTCTGGTGTCGAGTGTGTCGTGTGTAAAGGCGTTTGCGTTTACGTTTACGTTTATGGGTTACGTTTAAGGACTACGGCTACGTTTTATGGTTTCTTTTTCTTCTGGTTTTGTTTGTGGTTGGTTTTTTTTTTTTTGTCTTAGGAACAGTGGCAGCGTTGGGTTTAATAATGTATGTATTGGGCTAATAATAATTATTATTTATACTCTTCTCTCCCTCTCTTTATCTCTTCACGTAACTTTACGTTGCGTTACGTTTATTGTTACGTTATGTAACTGCTTTTTAGATGCTGCTTCTGCTGCTGCTGTTTCCTTCCAGCTCTTCTTGCTCCTTCTGCTATCCTTCTGCAGATCCTTCCTCCTCGACTTCCTCTTCCCGTTCTCTTCTTCGTTCCCTTCTTCGTACCTCCTCCTCCAGCAGCAGTGGCAGCCAGTGTTGGTAATGCCCCAAAATACAAAAGTAACTGATGATAGTTGCGTAATTTTATATTTTGCTGTATGCTAAGAAAACGATGCATTTTCCTCAATGTTCAGCAACATTTTCTTCATCGATAGTTTTTCTTTGGGAAATTCCTCCGCCTTTTTTGCATTTAAAGATCGTTGCTGGCATTCCAACTGTTCCTTGGTTTCATTCCACTGCGTTCCAGGGGACGCATGGTTTGCCATTTACCGTTATTATGCATATTGCAAAAGCGCCTTATCCTTAGTGTTGTTAAACGTTATTTTTGTATGTACAAAATGTTTTATTTTCGAGTCTATAATTAAGAGAAAGATGGAAGAAAAGACAGAGAACAATGGTAAATCATAAGTAAATAAGGTTTCGTGATATGTGATAATCAAAAAAATGATCAATAAAACTATAAATTCTGGCAGAAATTGTATGAATAGTATGAGAAATGTACCAAAAATACTGGAGAAAATGTTGTCTAAATATTCTTGAAAATGCGGTGAAAAAAAATTAACATTCTATATAAATATGATATGTAGAAAGATCATAAGTAAAGATATGTCAATATGGAAACTATTTTAATGGTAAATCATTTTGTGAGACTGTTTAAGGTTCTTGGAGTGATATTGAAGAGAAAAGTAGCATAATTCATGGTTGAAAATGGGTTTATTTCTACAAAAAAGACTATCTTTATTCTCTTGTTCGTTATTTAACACTTAATCTCTATTATATTCTGCAACAAGATAGATCCCTCTTTATTTGATGCATGCCAAGAAGAATTCACTCGCTTTGATGCGTTATTAAATTACAATCTCAGTATTCCCACAATGCAGGACAAACCCCATTTTACGAAGCGTTATTCAACACTTGCCAGAGTTCCATTTCATTTTCAGTTCGGTCTTTAAGCTCAATCTCAACCTTTTTACTGTGAAAAGTATCTTAAAAGTATTCCCACACTCTCGCGATTTCGCTACCCGGGACATATTTCTACTACATTGATATGCAAACACCTCTTCTTTCCATCTATATTTTTGCAACAGGAGGGTTGACTTTCATGATTTTTTTGTGTGTTTTTTTGCTGTTTATTATGCTAATTAGTCATTCGAGGCACGTTTCAGCGCAATGCCTTTGCCTTCTTCTTTTAATATTTATTTATTTTTTTTTCGTACTGTATTTTAATGTGATTCCATTATATTCCAGGCTACTTTTTTTGGTGGGCGTGTAGACGACGACGGCGACGACACACAATGTGACTTCATTAGCATAAAACAACGCTGGCGACAGCTTTCATTCATTTGAAACCCTCCCATGAGGAGGTTAGTTAGAGGATAGAGGGTGGCGGGTGGCGGGCAAGTCAAAGGAAAATCAATATCCACCCCCTGCTGGTTGGGCTAACATTAAAGAAATTTCAATGGGAAATGAGACGCAGGCCATTTTCTAATTAAAGCTTATTGCAAAATAGGAATGTTAGGGCTTAAAATTGAAAGAGCTTTAAAGCTTCAATAAACACCGAAAGAGGGAGAGGTAGGGGGGTAGAGAGCGTGTGGGAGAGAGAGAGAAGTGTATTAAGTGCGAGTGGGAGCTAAGTCTAGCATTAAAATTTTTGGCTAGACACAAGCGGCGCATTAAATTGAATGGGTTTTCAACACACAAAACCCCAATTCACTCCGCTCTCCGGTACACCACATCCACGTTCTCTCTGCCTTTCATCTGTCTGTTGTCTGGCAACACTACAACAAAAGTGCAGTGGCAGTAGCCTAGCACATAATGTGCTTTAAGGCACATGGCTCTTCCACACACTCCTCGCTCTCACATGTACTGTACACATGACTCATATGGGTGGGTATGTACCGTTATGTGCCCTATCATTCTTGTTTATGCATGCACGTGCGCGCATCAAACCCCCACCACCCCCTTCACCAAACGAACATCGTCTGTCGTCTGTCTTCCTTCCTCCTCTCTCTCTCTCACTCACTCTTCGACGCAACCGACTCTCGACATTTGGATATCTGTATCCTGTGTGTGTGTGTGTGTGTGTGTCTGTGTCTGTGTCTATGTGTATCCTGTCCTATGTACAGCGCTATGACAGCAGACAAAAGCTATGTATGTATGCCCCACCAGGAGGTTGCCATAGCTGCTGCTGCCACACCCCCATACATAAATATACATATCTTGTACATACACGATAAATACGACGAATATGTAAACATATTTCGCCGGTCAACGAGACCACAAGCACAACAACAACAACAACATCTTCATCCACATGCACACAACATTTATTGTTAATCAATATTCCGGGCAATGAATGAATTTTATTTTAAGCATTTAAGAACGACGCATGTTTTTGGTCATTTCGTAATTTAAGAGTTATGTTCGTCCGTGCGTCGTGTGGCATTGAACGGAGGAGGCAGGCAATGTGTCCTGTCTAGGGCATGGAATATGTGTAAGCATTTTGCAGTACAGAGAAAGTGATTAAAGCTAAGGGTTTTCCCAGAGGCAGAGCTTTATTGAATGCAGGAGGTTCTTCAAGAGGTGTAACCATTCGAATGAATAAAATACAGCGTTTCCCGTGGAAGTTTATCGAATAAAAAAGGATCTGTGTCTCGCGTCAAGCAGCAGCACCCCTCGGTCGTTTCATATATTCACTTAATCTGTGTATTCCTGTGCTTTATGCTCCTGCGGATAACCATTACTTAGCTAACTGAATGTTTCACACCCTTCGAACATTCCCATTAAATGCCCACAAGTCCTCCCCCTTTGAAACATGCAAATATTGTCTCTGCTTCTTCTATGGAGCATCCTGTGAACCATGTATATGTCACGGCTAATTGGCAGCAGCCAGACATTGCCTGTGGGCAGACAGTTTCGACTACACCACATTCCATAAAGGGCCAGAGGCCAGGGCCATGGCCAAACCCATTTATCAGACATTGAACCCCAAAACAATAGCAACAACAAACAAGAAGCAGCAGCAGTCGACGAATATTTGGCAATAATTTGTGGTCATAACCGTAAATTGTCGAGGGCTCGTAACGAGCCGAAAATCAAAAAGTCAAAGTCATGTTCCATTATGGCACAGAGAAGCCCCAGACAACAGACGACAAAGGTCCTGCCGTCCTGGCGCTCATTCTATTCCCAAAAATATCCTTTTGGCATCAAGCGGTTTGTTGTCTAGCCAGAGGGCCCCCCTTCTCAGCCATGTGTGTGTGCGTGTCTATCTCTTGAATATTTCTAACGAAAAATCCATTGAAAATCATCAGACAGAGGCGGGGCGGTGGCTCCACCACAAAACATGTCTACAACAAAAACCGACTTTTGTTGTGTCTGTACTTAGTAGAAATTACGCATACGCAGGAAAAGAAAATTGGGAGATGGAATAGAAGTTAACGGAGATAACGGAGAGATAGGCCATGCTCGACTAATATAAGCAATAAATCATGGTTTTTAGGATGGGTTGCAATCAACTATGTATAATCAAGGTAGTTATGAATTTATTCTTAGTTTTGTATGAACAGGGGGCTTGTTCTATCTTTCATTCGTGCTATCATCATTCAACGTTTACGCGTGACTGGCAATCAGTTGCAAATGCAACAGCCATTGCGAATTGTGGCAGTAAAATGTTTGCACCAATAAATAATCAAATGAGGTCAAATTCGTCATGCAATGGGCACACAAACAATAGTTGCTAGTGATGAAACCTCAGAGTATCATTAAATCATAAAAGTATCGACTTATCGATTACTTTCAATGGCCCGCTTCCATAAGTTCCTCTCCATCTAACATCTCAAGTGGATCCTGCTATCATTTTCAAACGGATTATTAATTAGACAGATGCAGTGTGCTATTTTTATTCATTCGGTATCATTCCGGTATTGTTTTCATAACATTTTTACCCCTTGGAGGCTTGACACACATTTCACCCACACACACACACACACATGCACCAGAGTTTGCCATCAAGTGACACAATTATGGAGGAGCAGTGGGGAGAGGCAGCAAAAGGGGTAGCAGAGGAGCAGTGGGAGAGGAAGATGCGTGCGAGAGATGCATTGCCATCGGCAGAATGCGCTTTTAATCAACTTAAAAAGGCCCCCACACACATACGCCGTGACTGCTGCACTCCTCTCTTCTCTCTCCACTGCCCTGCTCCGTTGCTTCTGCTTTGCTCTCCTCGTTTCCGTTCCCCTTCTCCTCCTCAGCTTATATCACCTACACACGACTCTAGGAACTGAGAAGGCAACGCCCACGCAAGACCGCTATTTATTTGTGCTATTCTGTGGGAATACCCTCTGCAGAAGGGGTATGATGTTTCTGACCAGAGGCTAGCCACATGCAGAATCCGAGTCCCCATCGTAAAGATTCGCTCTATAAACATTAGATCTGCTAGGGTATCAGCAGCTTCGAACCGTAAAGTTAGCTTTGTTTTTTCTTTGTTTTTGTTTTTGGTTTTCCTTTTTTATTTTTATGACTGTTGCCTGTGCCACGCTGTCTGCCTTGGTTTTGCTGCTGCTGCCAGCTCTCTTTCTCTCTGTCTTTTATTTTTGATATCCACAAAACTAAAATAATAAAAACAAATTGCCCATAAAAATGCGAGCATAACCGTTCTAAATGTATACAAACTCGGTTGATGCGGGAGTGAGCGAGAGCTCGAATGAGAGAGAACTAGTTTTATTATTATTTTGATAGGTTTTTATATTCTGCTCTCTCATCTACTCTTCGCTCTCGCTCTCTCGTCACTGATGTGCTTTTTGCATAGTGTGTCAAGGTCAGCAAATTGTGACGGCAATTAAGAAATTAGTCAATTATGCCGTTTAACTGGGCCTTCGTCCACTGCACTCTCTCTCTCTCTCTCTCTACAATTCTCTCTCTGTTAGCTCTCTCTGTACCTCTCTCCCTCTGTGTTTGCACTGCCTCTCTCTCCCCGCACCCATTAACTAGTTTTTCTGTTTCATAATCTGTTTAATTTAATCCGTTTTTTTTCTGTCTCTTTCTCGTGCTCGTTCTGACAATTAAAATTGTTTCTACATACATACATACATATATTAAATATCAAACTCAGTTACTTTGCATTTTATTTGTTTTTCATTTGTTTTTTTTTTCTTTAACTTTTTCATTTACATTCAGTAGAATATTTTCTCTGCTTTCAGGGTCACGTGTAAACGTGTCATTGTTTTTGTTAGCTTTTTTTGTTGCTATTGCTGCTATGGTTGTTGCCTGACCGAAGGTTACTTTAGTTTACGCTTTGATTTCTCGTTAATTATTATCGTTGTAAGTGCTATTATTGCTCAATGAGTTTCCGAAAAG